CAGCAGAGAACATCAAAATAGATTAAATCAGATGTTACTGTCACAAAGTTAGATATCTCGATCATCAAAAGGTTTCTTTAGCATATGAATAAATGAATTACAAAGAAAGGAGAAAGTTAATATCTAGTGCTTAACTTTTTTTGTGAATTTTCACTTGTCTTCTACCTACAGCCTTCATCCCCGTACTGTCACAGAAAGGAAGATATTGAGTTCGAGTTGGCAGAAAATATAAAACATCATTTTTCTTAGTCAAGTCAGCAGCTAAATTACAATTGGTTGGGGATGAGAAACACAGAAATAAAGATGTTGCCCTTATGACAACCCAAACTTCATCTTAGCTGACCTTTACCACAAACTTGGGAAGAAAACCTATCTGGCACCAGAGTCTCTGAAATGTCACAACTGAAAGGAATTAATGACTGAAATATTGCAAGTGAACTGACGTCTTGGTTAGGTTACAAGTGGTTATTATTGGGATTCTCATATATACTGTAACTCTCTATTATCGCGGGCTCTCTATTATCGCGGCACATGAAAACATCGGGAATGCAGAAACACCACACCCCGCATCGGCTGTTTACATATGCAAATTCCGTAAAAAATATTCATCGCTCTAGAAAAAGTCATTTATTTCATTGGAATGTCATGTCTTATCGTAGAAATATTAAAGTATTCATCTTTTCAGTAAGTTCTGCAACCTTTTGAAACTAGTATGACCCCTACTGCCATTACATCTAAACTTCAATCAAAACTTACTTCGTCAAGAGTAATCCTGCGACAACTATAAGGTCATTTGCATATTTTCCGTCCTAAAATATAACAGGAAGTGACGTATCATGCAAATTCACCCTGGACACGGCAGTAAATTGTATGGTACGTTTTAAGGCGGGAAACATTTTTTTGTTACGTTATTGTTACCTTGTATCCAAATGAATGGAATTTTCAGATGTTTGGGTTAAAAACATCATGATATAACTAATGTAAATGAAATTCCTAAATAATTTTGAAAACATTTTGTGGCCTAAATAGTATTTATAATACTATAATTTTATAATATCTAAACATAAAACGGGATCAATAGATTCCTGCCAGATGAAACATTAGACTGGGTGGGAGACTGCGCTGCCATTACTGGCTGGAGATCCAGACACAGCAGAGGGAAATCATTGGAGGCAACAGGCGAACTTTTACAGACGCTTCACCCGTCTCGGGCACGGAGATTTGAAATACACTTTCAGAACTTTGGTAAAGTTTACAATATCTCTTCCTATTGTAAAGATAACATGTCATAATCATAGTTTGTTCCGCGACTTCTTCCCGTGTCATGTGATCATCCAGACCACAGAATACGTCTCTTCGTCAACTCACGCGTCCATGCTGGGCCGACACTGGACTCAAATTCAAAATGGATCAGAAGTTCAGACCATCAGAGCCTTAGTCTTCGATGTAGTACAAAACCACGTGTATCACACAGCAATAGTGCAAGGACCCGGATAGATGAAACTGTCATTTGTCTGTACAGCGACTTGTGGAACGAGATGTTTCTGAACTCACAAGCGGTGAAAAAGGTGAATTCTAATTCGCGAATTACTTCAAAAAGTTGAATTTGACATACTTACTTCAAGATACAACCATTTGCCCTTGTCAGCGTCACGCCATCAAGCCACAATTACACCTAGGAATGGGATGATCGTAGAACGCAATGCGAGATATTTCAGCTCTTCCGTTGTCCACCGTCTATTCAAACTGGTTTTCTATTTCATTAGCGGACAATCCTTTGCGCATCTGACGTTCGGAATAAATTCCTGGTAATTAGGCTTATATTCACAAAGTTCAAAACGTTTTTAATGATTAATTTACCTCATATTTGGATTGTCTTGCAGTCGATAAAAATACTTCACATGGGTGTACCACAAAAACACACAGACATCCAAACCGTGCCCTGTGTGCCTGAACATGCATTCAGTTTTGAAAGATCAATATCTTTTACTGAACTAAATGTATGAAGTCCAGTTGACCACTGTGTATTTTTCTGAGTCTTGAAAGTTGTTATGTACGTACAAACATACAGTGATATTTAAGATTGTGTAACCTGTCATACTGTAGTCAAAGACTTCAAAGGGCACTGATACCCTAATGATACTAATGATAGCCAAGAAATCATGACTGGGCCGCAACCTCTGCTGCGAAACACGTAATATAGCGGCAACTGATAATTGGGTCACTTTTAGCTTGATAACAATGTAAGAATCTACATCGAAACGTCGCTCTATTCAATAAACATGAAGTTGTCATCCATAAAGTTGTCTGTTTCATTTTGACTCACCAACTTCTAGAATTGAAACAATTGATAATAAGGGCTTATCCTGACATTGATCAACACACGTAACATACAGTTTTGTCTTGAAATCAATTGGAAAATGCGGACATCTTTGTGAACCGTAATTATTTCAATCATATCCATTTATTTTAGTATAATGAAAACCCCAAACTTATTTAGGGTAGTTTTCATCTCCCGGTGACTAAAAATGTTAGGATTAAAAGAAATGGAATTCAATGTACGGTTTTGTATCTATGGCGTATAATCCTATCCACTCCGGAACTTGATAAAAATCCAGCTACATGTACATGGCGACGCTCTGTAGATAATCGAGTCTGGACCACACAACCCAGTGATCAATAGCATGAGGATCAACCAAGCCAGCGAGCCTGACCACCCGATCACGTTAGTCGCCTCGGGCGACAGGCATGGGTTACTTAAAACCAATTCTAACGTTCAGGGGTGTGCCTCGCATCGAAGAACTTCCCAAAGATGACGCAATGAAATGGAATGATCCTGTTCAACGCTACCACAAATAAATGAAAACAAAATCCAAATATGGTCACTTTAACCCACAAGAGTTATATGAATAATATCGGCCAGTTACCTATCTCGGGGAATGCGTCCACCAATATCCACATCCAGGAACAATATCCCATACTCTTTTGACAAACTACGTGTGCAAGATAATACTGATTAATCAATACATGATCGGCGAATCCTTTGACCGATGCTGCGTTGGAACACAACCGATATTTCCTGTCTTGCGGTGCTTCCACGTGCTTGTTACATCGCATGTGATTTATTTGCCACGTCATCCGAATTTTTAAGGTTCAGTTAAGGCCAACCCCAGACGCGGGAAATGCTAAATAGGAACCTTTGTCAGATAATCTGAGGTGGTGTTACCACTAATTATACCTGTCATACATTCATTAACCGAGCTTCAAGTGAATAATGACAAATAAACCGGTGTAGGTTTATACAGGGAGACTATATGTCGTTTGTTTGTTGTAGAGTATCCCTGGTTTATACCACATGGACGACAACACACACATTGGAGACACAACAATCCCAGTCATCAAACCATGCAGGCATCAGAAATCCTAAAAAACTTAGACTGCTGGGATACTTGATTTCAACCAGACTAGAATCATCAGGTCTATTTCCAAATAACGAGTCAGATGAGCATCCGCCGTTCTTCTTGTCTGCTTGTTTAGACTGAAGAAGTTAATTAGGACGCGCCCTTTGATATGCATGTAAGCATTATCTCAAAGTTTATGTCTGCTGTCTTTATAGACAGTAACCCAGCCTCATGTCAGTTGCGTTCGCCGGCAAATTGTCTCACTTCAGCCCGTGAGACCTTGATGGAAGCGCGAGACTGTCGGGTTCACGACTTAGATCCGTGCCATCATGGGCATGGCCATGAAAAGAAAGACCTGACTACAGAACACAGACAGACAACCCTTTAGGGGAGGGGATGGTTAGTTGTCCGTAACAATAGTATAGCGTGGCTCTATTGTTCTCCATTCTAAAGTCCTCGATTATGTTCGCACCCTACAAGAAATTGTCTTGATTCACAAACTGTATGATTCTGTGTCTCACGAAATGATTTTGAGGCCACTGGAAAGTGTTGTCTTCCTCCAGCGACTACTGCTTTTACTCTTTAGTAAACTGCAAGTCAACTCAAGTTGAGAGGTAGTCACATGCAGGTGCTGACTTTGGGGCCCATTCCTGAATATTTCAGGGCGATTCCTTTAGTCCTTTTCTTTTTCTGTTTGTCTAAATCCTTTAAGCTTTTTGCTTAACAAAGACGATGGTTACCATCCTGGACATCCAGGCCAGGAACACAGCTCCCCAGACACCGTGTATAAATCAGGTTGTAGTGTTGGGGAGTCTTCACACACTCTGGAAAGTTCTTGTTGGTGCACAAGGAAGCCTTACTGGGAGAAGTCCCATTTGCTGAGTGGGTTGCAAGGGCTGTGACCCTGTGTTGACGATGAGTCAAACAAGTCTGACTGAGCCAGGATCACCCGAAACCTCGAGTATGATGATAGTTTGAGACGCTTCCAGGTGGTAACAACATGCGACTCATCCCGCGTGAACAGAAGCGGTGCAAGTTACTCTCCCAAGGAAACACCACATATACCTAATCCGTAGAAACTCTCAGGAGTCCAACGGTAGCCTACAGCTTTAACACTGTCCCAACATGTTTTCTACCGAACACATTCACTCACTCAATAACATCTTCTATGTTACCCGCTGGAAATGCCGAACTGTGGGAAAGCGTTTTGTTACTTCGTGTTAGTAGTGTTTGGGCTGTTGCCTAACTCCGGTACTCCTTATTATGATCCAATACCGGTGCTTCAAACAGTTAAAAAATTAACATTGAAGTGTTCGGTAAGATACATACGTTGTTCACTGGTCCCTCGGGGCATATGGGTTGATGTACCCTCTATGTTGGTCTACGTACCCCTCGGGTACATCAATCCATGTCCCACTCGTGACCAGTGCACGTATTATATTGTAAATTCTGGTTTTACAATGGGGTTACACATTTGGTCTTCATATCCCAACGAGGAATGCTATAATGAAATATCTATGATTTATTCATCTGGTGATATCCATATGGCATTAAACAGAAGGTTGCCAATTGGCCTATTCAAATAAGAGGAACAGGAAGTATATTTGACTGCTTTTATTCAAGAAAGAACGCCTCGATCTCATACAAACCAGGTGGACTTTGAAGTTTAGTGAGATTGGTGTGGCGCTGGACGCTGTCGTGAGGTGCCAGGCTGACAACTCAGTAGCTGCATCCGTTCAAGTAGCTGCTGGTCACAGAGCTACACTTATCACCGTAACCGTGTCTGAAATGGTAGACGTAACTAGGGGAACTGTGTGGTAACTATCTCAACCATGTCAATTATCGTAACTATGTCGGATATGGTAACTTTAGTAACAACAGGGATTATGGTAACAAGTGAGGGATTATGATAACTATGACAACGGCAGTAATGGTGGTTACTATGACAACAGTATTAACTATGGTACCTATAATAACGAAAGTAAGTATGGTAAATATTATAACTTTAGTAATTATATGGTTACTATGACAACGGTGGTAACTGATAACCATCATAACGATAATAATTATTGTAACCGTACTTACTTTGTAATTGTTCTAACTTTAATAACAATGTAACTAATCAACTATTGTGTAATTATAAGAATGATCACTATGGCAACTACGGTTGCTATGGAAACAAGGCTATATCCTTGGATCCTATCTAGGCCAAATGCTGGCACTGAAGATCTTGACCTCATGTTTTAGGTGCAAAACCTCAATCTCTTACTCTTTAATCGATCTATACGTCTAGCATTAATCCACCGCCTAATATATATGGCCCCGATACAAGCCGTGGATTGTTGTGAAGGGTATAGTGTCGCTACACCGCGTGGTCAGTCACACTCACGCGAAGCCCCAACCGTGGTTTTCGCGTCGAAGCTGTTTGATGCAGCGGACGTCATCACTGATGTCGGTGTTCATATAGTCTGAGTTAAAGAGATGAAAACATGTTTTTTATAATAATGGAACCTGTCAGACATGTATCAAATTAGCAGCAACAGAATAACAGCGACAAGAACATTTCCATAGTCCAAAGTGATTACTTCTGAGTGAGTGAGTGTAATTTTACGCCACACTCAGCAATATTCCAGCTATATGGTGGCGGTCTGTAAATAATCGAGTCTGGACCAGACAATCTAGTGGTCAACAGCATGAGCATCGATCTGCGCAATTGGGAATCGATGACATGTGTCAACCTAGTCAGCGAGCCTGACCACCCGATCCCGTTAGTCGCATCTTACGACAAGCATGGGTTACTGAAGGTTCATTCTAACCCGGACCTTCACGGGATTACTACTGAAAGGAGAGTTGGTTATCCTATATGTACTGTATTGTCGTTTCTGTACTGTATTGTCCTATATGTACTGTATTGTCCTATATGTACTGTATTGTCCTATGTGCACTGTATTGTCATATATGCACTGTATTGTCCTATATGCACTGTATTGTCCTATATGCACATCCTTACGACTGTATTGTCCTATGTGTCCCTATATGTACTGTGTATTGTCCTATGTATATTGTACTGTATTGTCCTATTGTGCTATATATGTACTGTGTCCTGTATTGTCTTATGTATATGCACTGTCCTATATGTCCTATATGTATTGTCCTATATGTACTGTATTGTCCTATATGTACTGTATTGTCCTATGTGTCCTATGTGCTGTATTGCACTGTATTGTCCTATGTGCACTGTATTGTCCTATATGTACTGTATACATTGTACTGTATTGTCCTATATGTATATGTGCTATATGTACTGTATTGTCCTGTATTGTCCTATATGCACCAGATATTATACTGCACCATATTATACTGTATCTGTTATGAAGTAGAACTATCATAACTATATATGGCACCACGTGTTCGTTATAAGATCCGCGTATCCTGCTCCACCGGTGGCCCCGTTATAAACACATGCATAGACGAGTCAACTGTTCACCTGAATTAAACATGTTTTTCTGTCAGCTGGGAAATCTAGAGATTTCAGTTATGCCATAAAACGTTGTTAAAGCTTTACTGGAACCCTGAATTTTGTAGACCTAAATAAACAACTTGTGAGCAAGAAATGTCTGTATCTTGAAAACCAACATCATTATCTGTTCGTTCCTGGTGTTCACTATACAATAGTAGTCTAGTGGTTGAAGCGTTTGCTTGTCATGGGGTCGATTCTCCACATGGATACAATGTATGAAGCCCATTTCTGGTGTCCCCCGCCGTAATATTGCTGGAATATTGCTAAAAGCGGTGAAAAACTAAACTCACTCCCACTCACAATTCCAATATAATGTTTTACCGGAGCAAGGGTGTTTGCAGCCATTGCGGGTTTCTCTACCGTCCTGGGGGTCGCAGTTCCAGAAGCTGTTGATCTGGAAGAGTCCGTAGTCGCTGGACTTTCCTCCTGCGTTGATGTTGACTGCCGTCGTATTAAGGCTGGACTCGGCAAACGCCATGCACACCCCTACGGAGTATTGGGAGGAGGTCAGAGGTGTCCATATACTATACTGAATTAATAGTTACCTACGACAATGTAGATCGACGAAGTCCACGAAGACCAACACAGTGTCGATGACAGCCCTGCGCAGACACCACGAAGACCTACACTCAGTCGATGGGACCTACCCAGTCAGGAACCTTATATAGACTCGATCAGGACCTACCCACAGTCGAAAGGAACCTTATATAGACTCGATCAGGACCTACCCACAGTCGAAAGGAACCCTATATAGACTCGATCAGGACCTACACAGACCGATGGAAGCCCTATAGTGACTCCATCAGGACCACACAGTGTCGATGGAAGCCCTATAGAGACTCCATCGACCTACAAAGTCGATGGAACCCTATATAGACTGGATCAGGACCTACACAGAGTCGATGGAAGCCCTATAGAGACTCCATCAGGACCTACACAGTGTCAAAGGAAGCCCTATATAGACTCGATCAGGACCTACACAGAGTCGAAGGGAGCCCTATATGGACACGATCAGGACCTACACAGTGTCGATGGGAGACTTACATAGACTTGATCAGGACCTACACACAGTCGAAAGGAACCCTATATAGATTGGATCAGGACCTACACAGTGTCGATGGAAGCACTATAGAGACTCCATCAGGACCTACACACAGTCGAAATGGGAACCCTATATATAGATTCGATCAGGACCTACACAGTGTCGATGGAAGCACTATAGAGACTCGATCAGGACCTACACAGAGTCGATGGGAGCCCTATATAGACTCGATCAGGACCTACACAGTGTCGATGGGAGCCTTATATAGACTCGATCAGGACCTACACACAGTCGAAAGGAACCCTATATAGATTGGATCAGGACCTACACAGAGTCGATGGAAGCCCTATAGAGACTCCATCAGGACCTACACAGAGTCGATGGGAGCCCTATATAGACTCGATCAGGACCTACACACAGTCGAAAGGAACCCTATATAGATTGGATCAGGACCTACACAGTGTCGATGGAAGCACTATAGAGACTCGATCAGGACCTACACAGAGTCGATGGAAGCCTTATAGAGACACCATCAGGACCGGTACACACAGTCGAAAGGAACCCTATATAGACTCGATCAGGACCTACACAGAGTCAATCGAAGCCCTATATAGACTTGATCAGGTCCTACACAGTGTTGATGGGAGACTTACATAGACTCGATCAGGACCTACACACAGTCGACCTATATAGATTCGATGAGGACCTACACAATGTCGATGGGAGACCTATATAAATCTCGATCAGGACCTACACACACAGTCGAAAGGAACCCTGTATAGACTCGATCAGGACCTACACAGTGTCGATAACAGCCCTCCCCTAGACACCACCAGGACATTCACACAGTGGATTACGGTAATACACGTGTTCTCTACACACACGTTAGAGTACCTAGACAGTCAACTACGGTAATACACGTGTTCTCTACACACACGTTAGAGTACCTAGACAGTCAACTACGGTAATACACGTGTTCTCTACACACACGTTAGAGTACCTAGACAGTCAACTACGGTAATACACGTGTTCTCTAGCACCTCGACAGTCAACTACGGTACAGAGTACGTTAGACAGTCAAGTCAATCTACGGTAATACACGTGTTCTCTACACACACGTTAGAGTACCTAGACAGTCAACTACGGTAATACACGTGTTCTCTACACACACGTTAGAGTACCTAGACAGTCAACTACGGTAATACACGTGTTCTCTACACACACGTTAGAGTACCTAGACAGTCAACTACGGTAATACACGTGTTCTCTACACACACGTTAGAGTACCTAGACAGTCAACTACGGTAATACACGTGTTCTCTACACACAGAGTACTTAGACAGTCAACTACGGAGTACGGTTAGACAGTCAACTACGGTAATACACGTGTTCTCTACACACACACGTTAGAGTACCTAGACAGTCAACTACGGTAATACACGTGTTCTCTACACAAACGTTAGAGTACCTAGACAGTCAACTACGGTAATACACGTGTTCTCTACACAAACGTTAGAGTACCTAGACAGTCAACTACGGTAATACACGTGTTCTCTACACACGTAACGTAAGAGTACTTAGACAGTCAACTACGGTAATACACGTGTTCTCTACACAAACGTTAAGAGTACTTAGACAGTCAACTACGGTAATACACGTGTTCTCTACACAAACGTAAGAGTACTTAGACAGTCAACTACGGTAATACACGTGTTCTCTACACACGTAAGAGTACTTAGACAGTCAACTACGGTAATACACGTGTTCTCTACACAAACACGGTAAGAGTACTTAGACAGTCAACTACGGTAATACACGTGTTCTCTACACACGTAAGAGTACTTAGACAGTCAACTACGGTAATACACGTGTTCTCTACACAAACGTTAGAGTACCTAGACAGTCAACTACGGTAATACACGTGTTCTCTACACACACGTTAGAGTACTTAGACAGTCAACTACGGTAATGCACACAAACGTTTCTAGACAGTCAACTACGGTAAGACGTGTTCTCTACGTTAGTACTTAGACAGTCAACTACGGTAATACACGTGTTCTACACACACGTGTAAAGGTAATACACTACTTAGACAGTCAACTACGGGTACATACGTTAGAGTACGTGTAATACACGTGTTCTCTACACACACGTTAGAGTACCTAGACAGTCAACTACGGTAATACACGTGTTCTCTACACACACGTTAGAGTACCTAGAGTCAACTACGGTAATACACGTGTTCTCTACACACACGTTAGAGTACCTAGACAGTCAACTACGGTAATACACGTGTTCTCTACACACACGTTAGAGCACCTCGACAGTCAACTACGGTAATGCACGCAGAATCTGTAGAGAGGGATAGCGCCTAGATTGCCAAGTACGGTAATTGTAAATAGAACAACATATTGGATTGATTATGATTTAGTTATCTTTTAAAACTATGCATATAGTTGACCAGTGGGTGTCCGGATTTGCAGGTGAAGGGACTAACGGGGTTCACCTGTTACGTAGGAAATTGAAATAGACCCTAACACACTACTTTCCATACGCCAGATTGACATAATATACAAATGGCATAATGAACAATGCATAGTCATGGGTACATATCCACATCCTTTAAACTTATCAAAGGGATGAAAACTTAAAAATAGATCATGCATATACCTGTCACTATGGTAACCGCCAAGAGCGAGAGAAAGGTTGTTGGTCCCATCTTTTCTGATAAAAGGAAAAAGGACAGCATTGTATTGTGTGAATTAGGTCATTGTTATGCCGCGAATCCGAAGATGATATACAGGTGGCATTCCTGGTTTATTAATTGAACGTGGAGGGGTGGCCTGGTGGTTGAAGCGCTCGCTCGGGTTCAGTTCCCCACATCGGTGCAATGTGTGAAGCCCAGTTCTGGTGTCCCCCTCTGTGATATTGCTGGAATGTTGCTAAAAGCGGCGTAAAATAAAACTCACTCACTATTAATTGAGGAAGTATACGTTACCAACAAACCAAGCATCATCATCATTATAAGGATTATACATGGTTTTGTCGCTCGGCTATAATTACACAGACCCCGTTGCCTACGTAATCAAGTCAATTCAAACCGGTGATTGATATCACGAGCAACGATTTATGCTGTGGTTTGCAAGGGCACACCATTTTGCCTATCCTGACCCCCATCCCCACACCCCATCCCTTTGCCCCCCACCCCACCAGGGCTCCCCGTGTGGTGACAGGTGAGTGAATATTGCTTGCCGCCGCGGCAGCTAATTTGCAGCTATTCGCGAGGAACACATGGTGTTGAGATGGTGGTTAAGTGGTACATTTGAGGAACACCTGGTGTTGAGATGGTGGTTAAGTGGTACATTTGCAAACACGCTGATTCAGAAACATTCCCTGTATATCCTACACAGGCAAAGATCAAGAGTGTTAACTTACCTGTATGAAGGTTGGTGCCGACTGTAGCAGGGTAGAGGTACAGGCTTTATATACACATGCTCCCGGAACACGCTAGGTCACTCCAACCAGGAAGCAAGTTATTTTTCAAAAAAAGTTTCTACGAAAGGTTTTGACACACGGGAAGTTAATTATTCAAATAGGTGCCCCAGACACAGGTGAACGTGTACTCGGGTAATTTCCTCCCTTTTTTTGTCTGTGCTGATGGGTCCATGGGAAAAACGGAGCAGAATACGTATAATTCAGTCATTGGCGTCCTCTGACGGTGGGGTGAGCCGACAGTTCAGCCACACGTTACATGACAACATGTATATTAACAATGGTCTCTGACGCCACTTACACAACAGGTTAATTTAAGACTGTGCCTGGAGCAACCTGTGTTTGTGATGCAAGGTGACCTTGTGGTCGGGGTCAAGGTGGCCAACTGAATGTTTTCGAATGTAACGCCACCATTAACGTTGAAAACACAAAGAATTGCTAAGGACTTTCGTGAGTAAGTAATGTTCAACTCTGAGTTAAATCTAACGTGTTCCATATTGAGTTCAGAACACTTGTCCCAGAATAATCCCATTCGCGGGTCAGAAGCTTTGGCTTGTCGTGTCGTAGGACCAGTAATATAAGTGTACATGTACTGGCGGGTGAACTCTCTCTCTCTCTCTCTCTCTCTCTCTCTCTCTCTCTCTCTCTCTCTCTCTCTCTCTCTCTCTCTCCCTCTCTCTCTCTCCTCTCTCCCTCTCTCTCTCTCTCTCCCTCTCTCTCTCACTCCCTCTCAATCTTTCTCTCACTCTCTCTCTCCCTCTCTCTCTCTGTTTACGTGCGTGCGTGCGTGTGTGAATGAACCCGTTAATAACTGGCCTGTCACCAATCAAGCTTAGTCAAGGAGGAAGAAGTTAATAATACGAATGCAAATATGCGTGTTATTCATATTATATTTGCTTCTTTGAGGATTCTTATATACTGTGACATGGATTTCTTTTTATTGGTAATGGTCTGAGAGACTTTCTGGATTTGAAATTGTGTTTTGAAATGGTTGATCTTTA